CATAACGTCACATAAAAGAGCTTGTTCTATGAATCTTTGTCTCAGGTAGAGGTTAGCAGATGGAGCTGACACCATTAATATTTACAACTCTAAATGAAATGAATACATTTGGATTGTCAGTCACGGCACAATGGAGGCAGTCAGCAGAAAAAAGCTCCCTGGAGAGCCGAGGCTGAGGCGTCTGTGAGCACTGAAATATTAACACCAAATACTGTGAATGAATAAAACAAAATCACTCTCTGAGGGAAATAGCTTTGCAGGTAAACTGGGAGTGTTACGGATTTTTTGCCCTTTTCGGTAGTGCTAACGCACTGAGCCTTGAAAATGTAAATATGTTTTTGCATTTGTAGTATAGTAGAGCTCTGTACATGAATAGTGTGACTAAAATCAATATCTGGAGAGGTAACAAACCTTGGAGCCAGCCTGAAAGCTTTTTGTGTCTCTCAACTTCTTACATTTATCAGTGACACATGCAAAGAGCTGATGTGTACAAAATTGCATAAATTGGATCAAAAATAAAGCTCACAAAGAAAATCAATCCACGCTGGCACTTCTGAGTGCTTCTATATTGCAGGCACAATGAAGCAACTGAGGTGTGTTTTTGTCTGTGGGTATCAGGTGCTAGTTGGGAGAGTCCTGTCATGATGCTTAGAAAAGCATTGACAGAAAATGCTTTATTTAAGAGAATATGGTTGTTTGCTTTTTGCTGTCATACATTTGCTGCCATATTTGAAGATTTCCAGCATGGTGTTCATATATAGGATAATATTTACACGTTTTTATATGTTTGGATGTGAAAATGTTCAATATGAATGTATCGATGTTAAACAGTACTGACAGCATCTAAACCATGAGAGTATTTACATGTGCACAAAAATATTTATGAATAATTTATATTAAATGTACCCAATCAATAATAATTTATAAGTTGGAATAATTAAATTTGTGTGTGTGAGTGTGTTTGAAAAAAGTCTTGTGCTCACCAAGGTTGTATTTAATTGATCAAAAATACAGTAAAACTGTAATGTAGTCAAATCTTATTTTAATTTATTTACCCCAAACTTTTCAGTGGTAGTGTATCACAGTTTCCACAAAAATATTAAAGAGCATAAAACTGTTTTCAGCATTCATAAGAATAAGAAATGTTTCTTGAGCAGCAAATCAGCATATTAAAGATTTCTAAAGGATCTTGTGACACTGAATTCTGGTGTAATGGCTGCCAAAAAAATCAGCTTTGAATTTGATTTCATCATAAATTAAGTTTTTACACAAAATTTTTTTTTATTTTAAATTGTATTAATCTTTCACAATATTGCAGTTTTACTGTATTTTTTAAAGGGATACTCCACCCCAAAATGAAAATTGTCATTAATCACTTACCGTCGTGTCGTTCCAAACCCATAAAAGCTTTGTTCGTCTTCGGAACACAATTTAAAGGGGTGGTTGATTGCGATTTCACTTTTTTAACGTTAGTTAGTGTGTAATGATGCTGTTTGAGCATAAACAATATCTGCAAAGTTACGAAGCTGAAAGTTCAATGCAAATGGAGATTTCGTCTTTTAAAATTCTGGCAGTTTAATGCCTACAAAAACGGCTGGTAGGGACTTCAACAAGTTACTTCCCGGGTTTGTGATGTAACAAACCCAGATAAACCCTGCCCTTGGGAAAAGGCAGCAAAGGGGGCGAGGCCATGCTGCGCTGCTTTAGAGAAGAGGAAGAGAAAACTAGAGGTGCACGTACAAATCTATTCATATATGAATTGCGATTCTGTCTTCTAACGATTCTAATGGATTCACAAAATTCAAAAACCATCGCCTATTTCTGAGGGCGGGGCTTCATAAAAGCAGGATATTATCAGTGCGTTTCTCAGAGAAGGTACAGAGCAGTGTGGAATACAGGTAAATTATGTGAAAAATAATGTGTTTTTTTTTTTTTTTAAACGAAGCATTAACATGTTAGACTGCACCCCATAAACACAATCTAGCCTAGGAAAAAAAAACAGTGAACCGCCCCTTTAAGATATTTTGGATGAAAACCGGGAGACTTGTGACTGTCCCATTGACTGCCAAGTAAATTACACTGTCAAGGTCCAGAAAAGTATGAAAGACATCGTCAGAATAGTCCATCTGCCATCAGTGGTTCAACCGTAACGATATGAAGTGGCGAGAATACTTTTTTGTATGTGAAGGAAAAAAAAAACGACTTTATTCAACAATTCGTCTCCTCTGTGTCTCTCCGCATCACTGTAGCGCCATTTTGGAGAATATCCGCTGAACGCAAGCAGCGTACGCTCTTCTGTGTCAGCCGCGCTGCATGGATGCGCTGTTATCGTTCAAATCAAAGCGTAAATACACGTAGAAAACGCATCTTTGTGTCGCGGCTGACACAGAAGAGCGTACACTGCTTGAGTTCAGAGGATATTCTCCATAATGGTGCTTCATAACGTTACAGTTGAACCACTGATGACAGATAGACCACACTCTTAAAAATAAAGGTGCTTCACGATGCCATAGAAGAACCTTTTTGTCTAAATGTCTCCATAAAGAACCTTTAACATCTGAAGAACCTTTCTGTTTCACAAAAGGTTCTTTGTGGTGAAAAAAGGTTCTTCAGATTATAAAAAGGTAAGAAAGAGATGGTTCTTTTAAGAACCTTTGACTGAATGCTTATTTGTGGAACCAAAAATGGTTCTTCTATGGCATCGCTGTGAAGAAGCTTTTGAAGCACCTTTATTTTTAAGAGTGTATTCTGACGATATCTTTCATACTTTTCTGGGCCTTGACAGTGTAATTTACTTTGCAGTCAATGGGACAGTCACAAGCCTCCCGGTTTTCATCCAAAATATCTTAAATTGTGTTCCGAAGACGAACGAAGCTTTTACGGGTTTGGAACGACATGGGGGTAAAGTGATTAATGACAAAATTTTTATTTTGGAGTGGAGTAACCCCTTAACGTTCATTTCAGTGTTTATACAGATGTACAAAAATGTATGTGTTCTAAAACACTTTACACACAAATACTTATGATTATCAATACAATTATGTCGACATTTGTCACTCCTAAAAATGAGTAAGGCCTCTTCTCATTTAAATCCAACACAGACTAGTGAGTGTTTAATGTTGTGGCCAGAACACATTTTCCATAGACACACACACAAAAATCAGTTTTTGTTATTTAAATGAGCCTGTCAGTATTTTAAAGATTTGTTTTCTTCCCTCTGGACTGTACACCCTAAATGTCCTTCAACTCAGTCTGGCTGTGGCCCATAATTATTCAGATTCCAGACATTAGTGATGATAAAAGCATGAAAGAGACTGTTAATGACTTTACTCTCTAGAGCTAACTTTGCTTTATTCTTGTGGTTTATGTTCAGATCTCTCAAGCATGTGTCTTGGCCAGTCGCCCCTCGGATTACACGACTAGTTTGGGCACTGCTTGGCCATGTTGGCTCTCTGGGTACAGAGGGCAGCGTACGCTCTTCTGTGTCAGCCGCGCTGCATGGATGCGCTGTTATCGTTCAAATCAAAGCGTAAATACACGTAGAAAACGCATCTTTGTGTCGCGGCTGACACAGAAGAGCGTACACTGCTTGAGTTCAGAGGATATTCTCCATAATGGTGCTTCATAACGTTACAGTTGAACCACTGATGACAGATAGACCACACTCTTAAAAATAAAGGTGCTTCACGATGCCATAGAAGAACCTTTTTGTCTAAATGTCTCCATAAAGAACCTTTAACATCTGAAGAACCTTTCTGTTTCACAAAAGGTTCTTTGTGGTGAAAAAAGGTTCTTCAGATTATAAAAAGGTAAGAAAGAGATGGTTCTTTTAAGAACCTTTGACTGAATGCTTATTTGTGGAACCAAAAATGGTTCTTCTATGGCATCGCTGTGAAGAAGCTTTTGAAGCACCTTTATTTTTAAGAGTGTATTCTGACGATATCTTTCATACTTTTCTGGGCCTTGACAGTGTAATTTACTTTGCAGTCAATGGGACAGTCACAAGCCTCCCGGTTTTCATCCAAAATATCTTAAATTAAAAGCATCTTAATTTTAAAGGATCAGTCCACCAAAAATGAATATTTGCTGAAAATTTACTCACCCTCATGTCTTACAAGGTGTAGATGAGTTTGATTCTTCATTGGAACAGATTTGAAGAAATTTAGCATTGCATCATTTGATCACCAATGTATCCTTTACAGTGAATGGGTGCCGTCAGTATGAGAGTCCAATCAGCTGATAAAAACATCACAGTAATCCACAAACAGTTGCCAAAAGTCAGCCCCCCAAAAATTGCCTGGTTAAATTAGTGCTTCAGTATTGCTTCCCACAGAATTTTGTTTAAAATAAATGTAATTTTGGAGTGGAGTAACCCCTTAACGTTCATTTCAGTGTTTATACAGATGTACAAAAATGTATGTGTTCTAAAACACTTTACACACAAATACTTATGATTATCAATACAATTATGTCGACATTTGTCACTCCTAAAAATGAGTAAGGCCTCTTCTCATTTAAATCCAACACAGACTAGTGAGTGTTTAATGTTGTGGCCAGAACACATTTTCCATAGACACACACACAAAAATCAGTTTTTGTTATTTAAATGAGCCTGTCAGTATTTTAAAGATTTGTTTTCTTCCCTCTGGACTGTACACCCTAAATGTCCTTCAACTCAGTCTGGCTGTGGCCCATAATTATTCAGATTCCAGACATTAGTGATGATAAAAGCATGAAAGAGACTGTTAATGACTTTACTCTCTAGAGCTTCCTTTGCTTTATTCTTGTGGTTTATGTTCAGATCTCTCAAGCATGTGTCTTGGCCAGTCGCCCCTCGGATTACACGACTAGTTTGGGCACTGCTTGGCCATGTTGGCTCTCTGGGTACAGAGGGGCTTGATTCCTGTCTTAGTGCCTCCCAGGCTCTGTCCTGTCCTGCTGGGTAATCCCGGCCGTCTCATAAGAATTCAAGATTAATCTGAAGCTTCTGTTGCACTCAGCCATGGTGATGAACGTCTGGGAGAGTTCCCTCACACATTGGTGGGAATCAATGACCTTGACTGAGGATGAAAACAAGATGTTGGTGTGAGCTAATACATGCTACAGCTGTTGTCATTGTTCTGTAAGAATGTACAGTACTAGACTTCAGTGTAATAAGGAGCTCTAAGTGCATTAGTGTTCAACTTGCTCAAGCTGTTGTGTCTTGACATTTTATGAAGACATCTGCTGTTGGACATATGTTTGACATATGCACTTGCGAATTTCTAGACCAAACATAGCAGATCACGCTATATGAAATTTTTTTCTTGATCCGTGTTTTTTCAGTGACATATTTAAACGTCTTTAAAACATGAGAAATTAACCAGGGAACAAAGAGAACAAAATATTAAGACCCCTTTGCATTTTGTTAAACATAATTTATTTGAAGTGAAAAAATTTGTTAGGTTTATTAAAAAAAAGTTACCAATGATGTGAGAGGGGAAAACAATTATTTAAGATATATTATAAATATTTTGTTTTAAAGTGGTTTTGATATTTTTAGTGAAAAATAAGATAAAAGTAGAATAAGATAAATAAGATTTTTTAAAAAGCATCTTAATTTTAAAGGATCAGTCCACCAAAAATGAATATTTGCTGAAAATTTACTCACCCTCATGTCTTACAAGATGTAGATGAGTTTGATTCTTCATTGGAACAAATTTGGAGAAATTTAGCATTGCATCATTTGATCACCAATGCATCCTTTACAGTGAATGGGTGCCGTCAGTATGAGAGTCCAATCAGCTGATAAAAACATCACAGTAATCCACAAACAGTTGCCAAAAGTCAGCCCCCCAAAAATTGCCTGGTTAAATTAGTGCTTCAGTATTGCTTCCCACAGAATTTTGTTTAAAATAAATGTTTGTGTAGTTCCTATTCATCTAGACAGCATTAATTCATCAAAAGATGATCATTATAAAAGCATCATAACTGGGCATATATCCAGACGTAAACCTAGCTCATTTGAATGTTTTAAGAGCCAGCTGAGGTATTTCTGCATCTCAGCACTCAGAACTGTCTGCAAAATGTGGTGTTTTGACATATAAAACATCAGGTTTTTGGGCATGTTTGACATGTTACTTTTTCATAATTCATTTACTGTATAGGGTGCAACAACATAAACAGCATGTGCAAATAAAGGATTCTTTTAGTGAGTGTGTAATTGATTTTTGGTAGACTTCCTGCTATTCTAAGTGTTAACAAGCTTCTAGAAGCATCAGTGGAGGCTCACTGTGGTGATTGTTTATACATTCTTGAGATGAGCTCTTAGTTGTGTTTACTGACGGTTGGTAGCTGTTCTGCTCCGGCTCATCACATGCTGTCTGACTGCTTGTGACCGTACCTTCACTGGGCTGATATTTCAGGTTCCTGTAGTGTGACAGTGCAGTTTGCTGTGGGAGGCACTAAAAATAATAAGATTATTTGGTTATTTTATTTTAATTTGTTTATTTTTTTCTGAATGTATGTTCAGGACAGTTAACATAAAATGTGTGACACAGTAAACTTTAATGTATTTAACAAGTTTTTCCCCCATTCTTTCTAATGAATAAATCGGTTATTGGAAAAGTGTGGAAAAAGAAGCTATCAGTGATCAGTCCTTAAAATAAACATTTTTCTTTGTTTAAAAATCATTATAATAATCTAAATAACCTTTTTCTACTGTAAAGATCCTTTTGTAAGATAGAAAGATTAAAAATTCTTCATGGAACCATCACTGCCAATAAAGAACCTTTTTATTTTTTATATATTTAACAGTGTACATTTCAAAAGTTTTGAAAGAAATTCAGTTTAGTTAACGAATGACACATTAAATTGATCAAATGTGACAGCAAGTATATTGTTAAAAAATATCTGTTTCAAATAAATGCTGGGTTTTTTAAAAACTTTTTTACTAACAAATAGGGATGTAACGATTCACTCACGATTCAATTCGATTTACGATTTGATTATTTTTTTTTAAACAAAATGAGATTTAAGACATTATATAGTATGAAAAGGTGTCCTTTTATTAGGCTATTGCTGAACGTTTCTTTGTGAAATTAAAATATAACTAAAATTGACATTTTAAAACAAACCCCAAATCAAATTATAAAGTTGCTCAAATAAAATAAATCTCTTCATATAAACAAACTAAGGCTTTGTCTGTGCTCTTTCCGTTTAAAATTAGAGGCAACCACTGCATTTTAATCATGATCCAAACAAAGATGCAGCTTACATGCAGCATGAGCAGTTTTTAATCTAAATTAGACCAGTTAACATAAAATGTGTGACACAGTAAACTTTAATGTATTTAACAAGTTTTTCCCCCATTCTTTCTAATGAATAAATCGGTTATTGGAAAAGTGTGGAAAAAGAAGCTATCAGTGATCAGTCCTTAAAATAAACATTTTTCTTTGTTTAAAAATCATTATAATAATCTAAATAACCTTTTTCTACTGTAAAGATCCTTTTGTAAGATAGAAAGATTAAAAATTCTTCATGGAACCATCACTGCCAATAAAGAACCTTTTTATTTTTTATATATTTAACAGTGTACATTTCAAAAGTTTTGAAAGAAATTCAGTTTAGTTCACGAATGACACATTAAATTGATCAAATGTGACAGCAAGTATATTGTTAAAAAATATCTGTTTCAAATAAATGCTGGGTTTTTTAAAAACTTTTTTACTAACAAATAGGGATGTAACGATTCACTCAACTCACGATTCAATTCGATTTACGATTTGATTATTTTTTTTTAAACAAAATGAGATTTAAGACATTATATAGTATGAAAAGGTGTCCTTTTATTAGGCTATTGCTGAACGTTTCTTTGTGAAATTAAAATATAACTAAAATTGACATTTTAAAACAAACCCCAAATCAAATTATAAAGTTGCTCAAATAAAATAAATCTCTTCATATAAACAAACTAAGGCTTTGTCTGTGCTCTTTCCGTTTAAAATTAGAGGCAACCACTGCATTTTAATCATGATCCAAACAAAGATGCAGCTTACATGCAGCATGAGCAGTTTTTAATCTAAATTAGACTGTATAATTTCGAAATTTTAAGCAAAAACAGAATGTCTGACTTTAGTTTTGTGAATCTATGCTACATAAATCATATCTGAACGAAACAGCAGATGAGCTGAATGAGACGCAGATTCACTCTCTGCCAGCAGGTGGCGCTTATGAACAGCAGTGATACAGTGCTTCCTGGGTTACCGCTGTAAACAAAGCAGAGCTGCTTATGAACACTACTTTAATATGCATCGTTCAGAGGCAAGATGAAAAGAAAATACCACGTACACTTTTCTAAAGACAGTAAGTTCCCCTCAGAGATACATTCATGTAAGCTCCGACTCCAATTGTATCGCAATTTGTTTGGCATCTCAACCGATTTGAATCGTCACATATTTGAATCGATTTTCAACCGGCTCGCGGTTCATTGTTACATCCCTACTGACAAATCAACAAAAATATTAAGCAACGCAACTGTTTTCAACATAATAAAAAAATTTATTATTAGAAATGTTTCTGAGCATATCGGCATATTAGAATGATTTCTGAAAGATCATGTGACACTGAAGACTGCAGTAATGATGCTGAAAATTCAGCTTTGCCATCACAAGGATAAATTATATTTTAAAGTAGAAAACGGTTATTTTAAAGTGTTTTATTTCACACTATTGCTCTTTTTACTAAATTAATCTCAAATGAATGTAGCCTTGGTAAATGAAAAAAATATTTTAAAAGTCTTACCAACCCTGAACTTTTGAACAGTTGTGTATATACCTGGCTTTTTATTTTAGAAAGGGTCCCCTACCAGGGGAAGTTCATATTTGGGGGTCCTTAGCCAGTTTGAAATCCTAAACAAATTGAAGTACAGGACTGAGTTGTCTGTTTATTGTATATAATAGCAAAATGTGTGTTTCGTTGGAGAGTAAACTCCTCAAACACAAATAATGCTACTTCATTTGAAGGCTTCATGAAACATGGATGCTCAAGGAAAAAGCTCATTACCTTAGTAACTCCTTAAATTCTTCATTCAACCTTGATATGTAGATGACAGGCATGCAGTATAGCACAGATGAGTTCAGTCCTTCACCCCCATTAAAGTGAACTCCCCTGTGTGAATCCTGATATGAGTTCAGCAGGTTGACACGGCACCTCTAATGGATATTAATGTCTCTCCAACCGCCTGCTTTGCCAAGGAGGGTTACATACACATCTGTGGCCTCAAGTTGGCCAAGAAAATTGTTGAGAGGGCTTACAAAAGACTGCATCCATATCTTATACTGCATGAAATTATGTCTGTCAATGAAAAAGGCCTGTGATGTCAGTCTCTGCATTGTCTGAGGAAGAATGGACCTTTTTCTTTCCTGCAGATTTAATTTCCTCACTGTCAACCGCTGTGATCTCAGGCTGTGGTTTTTGAGCCGAGCAGCTTGTTTATGAAGCGACGAAGTGTGTGCAGATGGAGTCGTGTAGTGTACGCTTGATTCATCTGACTGATTGATGGAGATTGAGACATGAAAAAAACTTTTATCATGAAAGCTACAAAATACAGCTTACTTGCAGTTCAGTCATTGCAACTGTGCTGTGGCTTAGCTGTTATGTTTTGAAGACATTTATTGTCAATTGAGTTACGGAACAAATGATGTTTCTGTATTTTTTAATTTTTTTTAATGAATAATTTTAAGTAAACGAATCGTTTTCATTTAGTCACCATGCACTGACTCATAAGTAGGGCTGGGCGATATAGCAAAAAAATTTATCAACGATATAATGTTTCATATCGTTCGGTATCGATAATTATTGACATTTTTTATAACCTTTTTTAAAACTAAGAGCAATAGAATTTTTTTTTTACATTTTAACCACTGTATTTTTAAATTAACCCAATTTGTTGAGACAACAAATATTTTTTGTTTTAACAGTCAAACACACAATAAAAATTAAACAAATATCTAATTTCTAATGTTTTACATGCCGATTAAATGGCTTGTCTCCCGAGGCCACAGGAGGGCACCATTCACTCAGATTGTATTTAAAAACATATGAGACGCAGTGAAAAGGAATAAACCTCCACAAATTCGCGACGTGTTTTAACTTTGCATGGCTACATCTCTTGTGTGAGACGCCAGTGCAGCAGCCATATTTGTCTGTCTAAAAAATGAGCTGAATATGCGTTCTGTGTGAATGGCTTAGTTTCGGTTTTAACCTAATCAAGATCTCCGCATTGAGCTTCTATATTTCTCTAATATTTTCTCGTGCTCCACTGGTGATGCTCCCTGACGCACTCCTAACATTTGATTGTACTATTTTTGCATTCAAATACAAATGTTTATTTTAAATTCAACTCTATATAAATTTTTGTATTCACAATCTCCTCATCACAGGCAGTCACAGCACTAATTTCAGCATACACTCATAGCACGTGCCTATATCGTGCACTATATCGAACATTTTTTATATCGTTATCGAAGAAGGTGTACCGTCGATAAATATCGATACCGTTTTATCGCCCAGGCCTACTCATAAGTCTCTCATTTTTAAACGTGTGACTACTTTGGTGGTTTTTCCTACCCTAAAAGGCTGACTGTAGCACGAGCGAGTAGCATTCGAGTGTGGACTGTGAAGGACCATTTCATTGGTTGGACCTTCTGAACGAATGCACTACATGAGTCTGTGTTTCGAGTCTGAACGAGACTCTGAGTGGAAACACTGAACAAACTGGGACATCTCATTAGTAAGCGAAATGAACAAATTAGGACATGTTGTTCGTGAATGAGTTGGCGTTTTCGAGTTTAAACAAGACTCGATTTGGGACATGTCGTTCATGAATGAGAATCGGCTGAATGAAAGGGGGCATGTCGTTCATTCAGTGCGAAATATGAATCAATCCTGGGTGGAAGAATTATCCTAGTTATTTAACGTGTTAAATTGATTCACGATGATACACAAAGTAAATGATTCAAGGATGTTTTTGAAACCCAGTTCATTTATTTAGGCTATTTTGTCATTTTCTATAGATAATTCCATGTAACCATCCTTTTAATAAAGGATAAGATAAGTGTTTTTGAACGATTCTGTTGAGTCAGTTATTTCTTTAATGAGTCAGTAAGACTCAATAAGTCTCCACCTACTGGTAATGATGTAATGTAAAGGAGTGGTCACAAATTTCTGCATAAAGTTCCCACTGTCCACTGTCAATAGTGTATTGATGTATGAAGCACTTCTCACACAGAAATCACTTTCCTGATTTTGCAGGTCCCTATTGAAAACCACCGGATTTCACCTTAAAGGGTTAGTTCACCCAAAAATGAAAATTCTGTCATTAATTACTCACCCTCGTGTCGTTTCAAACCCGTAAGACCTTCATTCATCTTCGGAACACAAATTAAGATATTTTTGATAGAATCTGAGAGCTTTCTGACCCTGCATAAACAGCAACGCATCTGAAATGTTCCCAAGTCCAGAAAGCAAAAGCAAAAAAAAAAAACGACTTTATTCAACAATTCGTCTCCGCATCACCCTGGTGCCATTTTGGAAAATATCCACTGGACGTAAATAGCGTATGGTGTTCTGTGTCAGCTGCGTCACGCCGGTTCTGTTTCCTACGTTGTTGTGATTTGATCTGAACGGAAACGGTGTATCCGTGTGACGCAGAACGTTGCTGTCTATGCAGGGTCAGACAGCTCTCAGATTCCATCAAAAATATCTTATTTTGTGTTCCGAAGATGAACGAAGGTCTTACGGGTTTGAAACTACATGAGGGTGAGTAATTAATGACAGAATTTTCATTTTTGGGTGAACTAACCCTTTAAGACTCACTTAACACATAAGTGAAATTATTCTTTTGATTAATTTCATCGTTTGGTTCATTATATTACAACGATTTGTTCAGTGAATCAAAATCACCACCACTCATGACATCTCCAAACGGAATTGCAAAAATGCCAAACACTCCCCTCATCTTCCATTGGTCAGCCAAACAGATAGGCCGCCCCCAAACTCATGCCATTGGATGAGGTGTATTGGGCTGGTCTAGATTCTCAAACAAACAGACCCACAGTTTTTACACTTTGAGAGAATCAACCTACGAATGTCTTACTTATAGTTGTCTCCGCATTTTAAGGAAGAAAGTACTTTAACATTGAGAAAATTACACACCTTTAAATTAGTGAGTTAATGTCTTTCACCAAAGGATAAACTGTTATACTGAGCCAATAAAGTGTTTGCTGTGATTTCCCTGTTGTAAAATGTGCCTCATAAAAAAGCACAACTGCTCACAGGAATGAAGATAAACAGATCTGAAAGATTATAAAAAATGTGCGGTGCCACAAAGGTCTTTAATCAGTTTCTCCCAGAATTCCATTAGCACCTACTTAAATACTCCAGTCATGTACAGTACACGGCGCACACATCTAATATGTCGGCGGGATATTGTTCTGCTGTCGTTCTCCCTCTCACATGGCATGGTCTCTATTGTGGAGCCCTGTGGTACCACAGATTTAATTCCACTCCTGTTCACTGTCACTCACACCCACTCTGCCTCATTCAACTGTAACCAACACCTCATTCACCGCGTCCACCGCACTAACTCACTCTGATGTGTGAGCGTGGAAGCCTTATATTCCTTCTGGCAGAAAGAGAATGTTCTGTCATCAATCATAGGCTGAGAGCGCCAGCCAAGAGTAATGTTTTACTGTCAAAGCCATTTGGGGTATTAGGCTAATAGAATGAGTTTCATTGTACTTCCTAGAACACACTTTGCTCTTGGTAAGTGTTGATTGCTTTGCACCTGCAGATGATATGTGACACGTATTACATTTACCCTCAACCTTTGATTTATTCCCAGTTGGAGTCAGTAGGCTATTTCTGTGTGGTACAAAAGTTTGTATTATTATGAGCGTTGAGGTTATTTTGGCCGACGGGCAGACGTGGCAGCTGTTGACCGATTTGGTGTGAGCAAATAAAGGATGCTGTCTGTCTTGCAGTCTGTGACTGGGAAATGATGCGAGTTTGGGTTTTGTTAAACTGCTGCGTGAATTTAACATATCATTCTGCAGTCGCATGACTGGATGGTGTAGTCTTCATTTTTAAGTATATTCTAAATTATAAATATGGTAACGTCCCGGTTCACCAGAGAGAGTCCTGGTTTCATGACGTACTGTATGTCCTGACTATTCACTAGAAATGTAAATATATCAAAGTTTCACCTGCTAGGATCAATAACTTACAATTAAGGGGAGACACTGCAGGCAAAACACTATTTTTTTCATGCGCCTGTCAATTTGGAGATTTTGGGCTTTTTGGCTTTTCATAAAGTGTTGATAAAGACTAGTGAAAAGAAAACATCCAAAAGACACTGTTAAGTGCTTATTTTATAGCACTTTATCTATTTGTGTCAATAGATTTCAATTACAATAAATATTTTTAAAGGCCGTTTCCTCAAAATGAGTTTTTTCTCCTACACTGAGCCATAAATCTCCACTTCAGTAGCACTTACACACACCAAACATTACATTTTTATTCCTGTATATATTCTGAAGATTTTTACAGAGGGATCTGTGCATATAGATAATTTGCTTGATTGTATACAATATTTTATTCCCCCCAAAATTGTGAAAATATATTGTTTTCTGGCTGTTCAAAGATTTTTCTGAATTATGGAGTGACAAAAAGAGATCTGACAGAAATTCCCTCTGTAAAAACATTTGACTCTAATATGTCAAAAAAAATTAAACAAGAATTTTGAAACTGACTTCATCCAGTGTTCAGATTTTTGCAAAATGTGTATGCAAATTAGTGCATATTTCATTAAATAATGCCTCATTTGCATATTGAAACATAACATTTTAGAAAACTTTTAATACAAAAAATGTTTGCAATTATCAATGTAATCAATCAACTGGGTAAGTAAGGTGATAACTACCGGTATTAGTTAATATTTTTACCCTATTCACCTGCAGTGTCTCACTTTAAAGGGATAGTTCATCCAAAAATGTAAAATCTGTCAATTACATGCTGATGTTACACTGAAAAAAATTTACAGGCATCACAGTTTCCAAAAAATATTAAGCAGCACAACTGTTGAACTTTAATAATAAATGTTTCTTGAGCAGCAAATCAGTATATTACAGTGATTTCTGAAGGCTTACATGCAATTGAAGACTGAGTAATGATGCTGAAAATTCATCTTTGCCATCATAGGAATAAATGAATTTGTTTTTACTGATTTTGAATGGTAGTGTACAAAGACCATTAAATATGGCATGTAACGTGTGAGAACCAATGAGGCAGACATTAGATGATATTTCATATGATATCTATATCCTTTTTAGAGCTTGAAAGTTTTGGACTCTATTGACTTCCTTAATATGGACAAAAACAGCTGAAACGTGATCCAAATTATCTTTCTAGCTACCTTCTCTGATATTGGTTGTGGTACTCAACCAGATGACACTGAAGGGAAAAAAAGCTGTTTTTTTTTATTTTTTAAATTATGTTTTATTTAAGTAGCACTTTTCATAATATGTATTGTTTTAAAGTTGCTTTAAAGAAATAATAGACATGATGTTTGCTATTTTAATACTTTCAGCAAATCAGTTTGCAAGAACAGTTGTCATAATAATTTCACGCACTGGCTGCTGCTCCCATTCATACTCTCAATGCAGGCAGATTGTCATGTTAGCAAGCTGGAGTAATGCCCAAAAACACGGGGAATTACATTTTATGATTTTTGATTTTAGTATGGTGATTTAATAAGTATTATTCAAAAATTAAAAAAAAATAATAATTCAGCGAAATACGTTAAGTTGTTACTATGAATTCCCACGTGAACATTAAAATCACAATGACCGAATATAATAACAGAAAAAAAATGTTTTGTATATTTTTGTTATTTACTGTATATTTTGATTCTGTTCAGAAAGTGGGAAACTGAATAAAATGTGGCAGGCTCCAGAAGATGTCTAAAACACTAGGCATAAACTAATCTAATATATAATCTAGTCAATTTTGATTATCTTCAAAGCACTCAGCAATAGGATTTTCTCAGTACAGATGGTAACAAATAAGGATGCATGATGTTCCATATTGGTTATGGTTATCGGCTGATATTAGTGGTTTTTTAATTATGAGTACTTGCTGATAATAAGATTTATTATTTCTTCATTAATATTTAGTTGTGCTGCTGATTTACTGTAACACTCAAAGTTAATTTTTAAAAATGTTTTAATTTAATAGTAAATCTCAACATTTTTTTCATATGCTATGTTATGTTCAACTGTAAGATTTAAATAGATTAATTTTATTTTTTAGATAATAATATAGAAATGGAATATCCAAAATGTATTGATTATAGTATATAAAATGAAAACAATTATCAACTTAGCAGACAGAAGTTTATTATTGGTGCACTTTTAGTAATGAAAAAAGTAAGTGCAATGAATTATATTATTTTAATAAAGCTACTTTTTATTAATAATAATAATAATAATAATTTGAACACTGATATTGTTATTATTATTAATAAACTATATTTGAAAAAGTTTTGTAATAACAACAACATTAAAATATGATTTCTGTTATTAAATTCTTTTATAATTAAAATAATAATAGTAATATATCATGATGTAATAGACCTCAGCAATTTATTAAGCTACAATTTACACTGCAAGACATTGTCAAAATGTTTATCTTTTTTTTCATACTGTATGTTGGGATTCAGCTGTATCATTAAATAGTTGAATTTTATTTTTACATAATAATATAGAGTTTTAGTATCCAAAATGTATTGATCATAGTATATCAAATAAAAATGTTTATCAACTTATCAAACAAAAGTTTATTATTGGTGCACTTCTAGTAATGGAAAAAGTAAGAGCAGTGAATTTTATTATTTTATTAAAGTTATTATTTAATAATAATTATTTAAACACTGATATTGTTACTATTAATAATAAATTATATTTTAAAAAGTTATGTAATAACATTAACAACAATATGTTGTTACTATTGTTATTACATTCTTTAATAAGTAAATAATAATAATATATCATGACAAAATATATTCTAAGCAGTTTATTAAGCTACAATTTACCTTCAAGTCATTCTGTAATGCACCGGTTCAAATACACACATGAAAATTAAAATAAGTTTTAGAATTGAGTTGATACTGTACAGAACTGCTGTTGCAGTAAACTGCTTCAGTCACAAAGTACCGGTCATTTTGACATCCCTACTTAGAAACATCATTTACGTCAGCACTGGAGACTCGTATTGTACACATTCTTGAAGTCTTTTGTCTTTTCATTTTTCCATGAGGTTGCCCTTCTTAGAGCTTCAGTTAAGTGCAGCAAAAAGAAAATGAGTGTGCAACTCACTGAACATTCATTTAGTGCTGTAACTCAGTGATCAGCGAGATTGGCCCGATGGGATTTGCATAATGCTCTGTTCTTTTGGGGAGGCTGGGCCTGTGTGAATGCTGGAGTAGTGCTCTACGCTGTCAGTAATCTGAACTGCTGCACTGTGTCCAGAATAGAGGGAGGAGAACATTCTTCCCTTTCACTCTTGTTTTACATTACAATGAACCACTTCTCTTTTCATCTCTTGTCATTACCCATTATGAAATTATTACTTTAATGTGGCTTGTTAGAAAGCGGAGATTACTTTGATCCAGTTTCTTTTTTTAAAAGAGCAGTGATAATAGGCTAATGAATAAGTGAAATTCAGATCATAAAGAGACAAGACGAATCAGTTAGAATGTGCTCGAGTCAGCAGCCCAGCAGATTATGAGGGGAAAAAAGCCACGTGTAAAGTTACTTTACATCACAAAGGCCTAATTTAGGGACAATTTAGGTGGGCTATTGTTGTGACTTGATGATGAGATTCAATTTTATGACTAATTCAAAGGGGGTCACTAGGGCTGCATGATATTGGAAAAAACTCATATTGCAATATTTTGTTTTTCTGCGATATATATTGCAATATGAAAAAAAAAAAATCACCAGATGACTTAAATAGCTCTATTTGGAAAGAAAAAAATCGATGATTATTGATTACACACAAAATTATGTCTTAATTACACCGTTTTGACGAGTATTCACGTAAACACAGTTGATTATGTCTTAAGTGAACGTAAACAGTAGGGAGAACGTGTATCAGTACATTGCATCCATTGCAGCCGTGCATTCGGTTTTTAAAAGACAGCAGCCTAATTTAGTTGCTATTGTCTGAGTCATTGATGTTAATCAAGCAACAAAAAGAAAAACCGAAAATCACGCACTGCTCTTGACTGAGAAACTTTAGTAGCCTTAAAGATTAATCTAAATTTATTTATAGAAATAAATATGTCTTCTTGAAAGAATGAAGAATATGGTAAGCAAGTTGCTATAAAGAATGCATAGTTAGCCTATATAACCATTGGTATTTCATTAAAAAGTAGACCATGTTCTTGTTCTTTGTGAGAAGTGGTTTTATTTAACCACATTTATTTTATTTATTTTAACATAAAGGCATGTTGTGTGTCACATCAGTTAAATCTGTGTCTATCATGATAAAACTTTAATATCAAACCTATATAATGAGTTTGGAAATTTTAGAGAAATGCTTAATAAACCCATTAGATTTTAGCCGACTAAATTTACTGTAGATTTAGTCGACTAAAATCTTATCATATTTAGTCGACTAAAACTAGACTAAAACTAAAAACAATTCAGATAACTAAAATATGACTAAATCTAAATGGCATTTTAGTCAAAAGACTATGACTAAAACTAAATCAAAATTTGCTGTCAAAATTAACACTGGTGTCCTCACTGGACGCGAGCGGCGCAACAAAATACTATGAACCCATTATAATCAGTGATGCTGTCTACACTGGATGCGGTGCGACACAACAAATCATATGATGTGCAAAACATTGCACATCATGCGATGTGACTATCGCGGATGCACACATCGCAATATCGATGCTGAAACGATATATCGTTCAGCCCTAGGTGTCACATACTTTTTCTTGCAACCTTACACCATATAATCCAAGAATCTATTCCTAGGCTGGTTTTAATTAAACTGTCCCGATAAGACGTGGACTTGCTGATGAGGCAAGGTGGTTTGACTTTCCACAGCGGTTCCGTCTGCACCCCAGAGAGTGATTTCTAGCGTGAACGAGACTTCCCTGCGGCTGGAGTGGGATCTGCCGAAAGAGAGCGGAGGCCGGGAGGACGTGGTCTATAACGTAATCTGCAAGAGCTGCGGTTCGGGTCGAGGGGCCTGCACTCGCTGCGGTGACAATGTGCAGTTCGTGCCCCGCCAGCTGGGCCTGACCCATCCCTGGGTCCACATCAGTGACCTGCTGGCCCACACGCAGTACACCTTTGAGATCCAGGCTGTGAATGGAGTGTCTGACCAGAGTCCCTTCTCACCTCAGTTCACCGCTGTCAACATCACCACAAACCAGGCCGGTAAGACAGCAGTAAACACAGGTAACAGTTTGAGACATCGCAGATGATGTTCATACTCAAAATATTTGTAACTTGCTGGGGGCTGGATTCAACCTTGAATTACACAAGCTTGTGTGTTGCCGGGCAACTTTTCTAGAATTTAGTATAAGGATCTATTATATTTAGTATGAGACTAGTTCAGGGGTTTTCAAACATTTTGATGTCATGGACCTTTCTATCTCCTTCCTAAAATATTAAAGTAGCTAAATATATAAATGTGCAAAGAGCTGTTCATGTTTTATTTAATAAAAAAATTGTATATGTATAAAATATGTTTGAACTAAATATTTAATATATTATATTAGTATAATGTAATTATATAATATTTAAATAGTAATATTTATTTTATATTATATTGCTATGATATACTGTATTATACTATATATTATATATTTATAAAAATATATATTATTAAATTTAATTTGAAATTTCTGCTCATCAAGGCTGTATTTATTCGATCAAAAATACAGGAAAAACAGTAATACTGTGAAATCTTATTGCAATTTCTAATATTGGTTTCCTATTTTAGTATACTTTAAAATATAATTTATTTCTGTGACGCAGCGCTGAATTTTCAGCATCATTACTCCAGTCTTCAGTGTCACATGATCCTTCAGAAATCATTCTAATATGCTGATTTATTATGAGTGCTTCATACTGTTTTTTTGGAACCTGTGATACTTTTTTCTTTGATGAATACAAAGTTTAAAAAAAACTGCATTTGTTCAAAATAGAAATCTTTTCTAACAATATAAGTCTTTACCATGACATTTGTTCATTTAACACATCCCTCCTGAATAAAAGTATTAATTTCTTTAAAAAAAGAAAGAAAAAATGTACTGACCCCAAACTTTTGAACAGCATTGTATATTGTAACACAAAATGTATTTTTTAAATAAATGCTGTTCTTTTTAACTTTTTACAAATCAAAGAATCCTAAAAATATATATATATATCACAGGTCCCCAAAAAAATATAAAGCAGCACAACGGTTTCCAACATTGATTATAAATCAGCATGTTAGAATGATTTCTGAAGGATCATGTGACCATGAAGACTGGAGTAATGATGCTGAAAACTCAGCTTTGATCGCAGAAATAAATTATATTTTAAAGTGTATTAAAATATAAAACTGTTATTTTAAATTGCAATAATATTTCACAACAGTTTTTTCTGTATTTTTGATCAAATAGATAAAGCCTTGATGAGCAGAAGAGACTTCTTTAAAAAACATAAAAAATCTTACTGACCCCAAACTTTTGACTGGCAGTGTGTATATACATACATACATATATACATACATACATACATACATATACATATACATATATATATAATTTTTTTTTT